GGATACATCCCCCCCCCCCCCCGAGATGACACAACCAGAGAGACTACGCAGACTATGGAGCATCCCAAGACACGGGTGCGTGTAGTTCGTGACCGCCGCACTCAACAGCCGAACCAACCACAAAACCATTACCCTCTTCCGGCTTCTCTTTCAAAACATTCATCACCTCCTTCCCATTGCCACGACATGGTAAGCACCAACCAAGCACTCATCCGATCCCAACCACAACAATAAAAACAACAACATAGACCACATGCCCAAGTACCACATCAGCACCCATTCCTTCCCTTGCTGCAAGCTCACCTTTTGTGGATCATCCCCATGCAATTGTGGTGGCAATTCAGGTCGTCGGAAACAACGCATTTAGAGTCTCTGCACCCCGACTAATATTCCATTACGCCTCTCTCTCTTTTTTTCCTCTTCCCTCCCTCTATGAGCCAGTCTTCTACAAACTACAACCTACCGGACGACTGGGAGTTGCGTTGGTCTCGTTCGCGTAACCTTCCTTACTTCTACAATCGAGTCAGCGCCGAGTCTCGCTGGCAAGCACCCGAGGGCGTCGACCCCAGTGTCGTCCTCGCCTTCCAAAAGGATTACCAGAGTCAGCATGGACAGCAACCGGAAGATGGCAGTGCTGCACAATCGGACGATTCACCCAGGCGTGTTAGGGTCTCACATCTGCTGGTCAAGCACGTAGAGTCGCGTCGCCCCAGCTCCTGGAGAGAGGTCCGTACCAAGCGGGAGTTGACACCCAGAAACCTAGAACGTCCTATCTATCCATCCTGCACGCGTGATTCTTAACCTTTCTCTCCCCATTCCCATTCCCATTCCCATTCCCGTCTCCTTATCTTTCCCAATTATACTTATAGGATCAAATTACAAGAACCAAGGACGAGGCATTGCAGCGACTCCAAGGGTTTGAGACGAAGATCAAGGCTGGCGAAGCCAGTCTGGGAGATTTGGCCGCCACAGAGTCCGACTGCTCCTCAGCCAAAAAGTCTGGCGACCTCGGATTCTTTGAGCGTGGACAGATGCAGCCGCAGTTTGAGAAGGCCTCCTTTGCACTCAAGGTCGGGGAAATGAGCGAACCTGTCTGGACAGATTCCGGCGTCCATCTTATCTTGCGCACTGGTTAAAAACTACAGTCGTCGACAGACTTCAATGATCGATATCATCGTGAACCATCTTATCATCTTCCTCCCCTTCCTCCCTCCTCGATCAATGCGACCTTTAGGGATTAAAAAAAAGATATGCACCAACACAAAACACAAAACACAAAACACTCACAGCAAAGGAAGGATCGGAACCAGAGCAAAAGCAATAAACACACGCTAAAGCATCTACATTGGAATTCCGTATCATCCATCCGTTTATTACCGCTATTTGATCTCACTTCCTTGGTTCTAATATCAAGAAGAAGAAGAAAAAAAATCCCGCACCGCATGGGTCCCGGGGGCAGCAAAAGTGCTAACACCTGGAATCGAACCAGGATCGTCTCGGCCACAACGAGATATACTAACCATTATACTATGTTAGCCGTTCTTTGCTGAATTCCATCCGCTAGATGGAATCAAGCTTACATCGGTTTAGTGACAGGTGACGTCATAACCACGGTTCGAGTCCAGGTTCCCCCACTCTACGCAACCCATGCTGCATACAATACCGTAAGCGCCGCCATCACCAGCGATTTACAACAAAAGGTCAACAGCGTGCACCGTGCTTCGCGCGCCAATCACAGGCGATACGAGATAGCCAGCCGTACCTCTGTCCGCAGCCTTTCACCACTCTTGGATCTTAACAGCGCGCAGTATCACACCGTCCTGGCTCGCCTACGAGGACGCGCACAGGCTGCCTTAGACTCTGCTGCTCGGCGCAGAAAAGCACTTTTGCAAGACATCAACTCACAACGCGCACGTGCATCGCAAGCGATACATGCCCAGTACGGTACCCAGCAGGCACGGGAGCGCCGACGCCTGCGTAACAGCGAACGTCGACTACAGCGTCAACAACAACGAGAGTTGCGTCTACTGCCTCAACGCCAAACGTATCCATTGCTGCCTGTACACCAGCTGTCTGAGGAGGTGGGCACATTATATCCAGACAGAACCACAATTGGACCAGTCAGCTTATCACACGCTGAGGCAGTTGCTGTGTCACAGCTGCGAGAATCTCCTGTCGACAACACAGCACCGCGAGTCATCTCCTCCGATGGCTCTTTGATTAACACTGGTCAAGAAGACGTAGCCATGGCCTTTGGGGTCGTTGATCGATCGCAGCCCGTGGTCAGGTGTGTGCAGGGCCGCACAGACGGGTACGCTTCTTCAGCAAAAGCAGAACTCATGGGTCTCCTAGCTGCCATCCTATCTGCGCCACCAGACCAAAACATTATTGTGGAGCTCGACAACCAAGCGGTCGTGCAACAATACCAGCAGCTTGTGCGTTCCCGTGCGGACACGTTACCTCGTAAGCGGTTCCGTAGTACGTACTCTGGACACTGGGCAGCACTACACAAGATTGTCCAGGATCGGTCTGGGTCGGTGGAGGTGAGGTGGGTCCGTGGGCACAGCACCAACACTGGCAACAATATTGCAGACACTGTGGCGACAGCCGCCGTCCGAGTCGAGTCAATGCCCTGGTCGGTTGATTTAAGCGAGCAGCAAGACATCCGCTTTTTTGCACATTGCCACGATCATCTTGTGGAACATGATCTGCGGCAGCTACTCAAGCAGCAGACGACAATCAGGCGTCATCAGGCCTGGACAACCCAACGTCGTGTCAAGAGAGCGATACCAGATCTTGCCGACGTGGAGTGGCGGTCCACCCTTGCCCATGTCCACGACAAGCGCTCTGTGCACACGTTCTTCAGCAGTGCTGCTGATACGTCCCAGAGGACACATCATATTAAGAAGCTGCATGGTATGCTGCCTACCCTGAATACCATGAAGGCTCGCCACCCGAGTCTATATCCTGACCGTGTCTGCTGCGTCTGCGATGTTCAGGACGAGGACAACCATCACCTGTGGACGTGCAGTGCTACTAGAGATGTCCACAAGGAGATCTGGCGCGAAGGGCTACAGCAGATTGATAAGTGGGGACGAGCTGCAACGACCGCATACAACAAGAACAGCAAGAAGCAGCAAGAGCGTGATAGGATCCGCGCTGGAGCCGCCGCTGCTGCACCGAAACCCATTCGATGGGTTTGTCCTAACAACGAGACCCACATCCGAGGTCTATCCTGTATCGCCGGGACCCGATCAATGCTCAAAGGCGACGAGTATTATGACCGCTCTCCGGATCTGACCTGGAGCATCAGCGATTTATGCCGTGGCATCACACCAGTCAGCCTTATCAAGGAGTGGGGCAGTCTATTTACCTCGCCATCGTCGATTGCGCGCCAGGTCATTCACAAGTTCGTCGGCTTTATTGAGGAGAAAGCTACGGAGCTGATCTGGAAACCACGCTGCAAGGCCACTGTTGCTCGAGAGCGAGAATGGGGGATCACAGCCAAGATGAAACGAACTCCATACAAGGGACCGAGAGGGGACTGGAGTGATGGGTATGGATACATTAGCGACGATGACCAATGTCCGTGTGGTGCATTACTCGCTGACCATGTAAACGGGAGCTGCCCTGGCCCCGTGCTTGACCCAGACGCAGCGGATCGGACACTGCTGGATTGCCTGCAAGGGAGGAGGCGGTTGACAACTATGGAGGGGATGGGGAAGATACCCTTCTTGTAACAAGGTGTTTTCAGCTTTTAACACACTGATGAGGTGTGGCAATTGTTGCGCAGGCCCTAGGGGCAGGCCCGGGGAATGTGACCTGTCTTTTGGCGACTGTGGATCGGTTCCGCTTTGGTGGTGAGGACAGCGATAGTAGATCTTTGCTAGTTAGTCTGATAGATTCGCAGAGTCAATTGACTCGAGAGACAAGTTGTTATAAAAAAAAAAAAAAAAAAAAAAAAAAAAAAAAAAAAAAAATCCCCCACTCTACGCAAGGCCCGATGGCTCAGTTAGCATACTGGTCAGGGCACCTCCCTTGTAACGCGAAGGGACCAGGTTCGAGCCCTGGTTAAAGCACAGTAATATGTGCTACGCATAGAAATTTATTTGGAGCATGAGTCGGGCGTACTACCCCACTTCAGTTATGTGGGTTTCCTTTCCCCGGCGACCCCCACATTGAGTGGCACTACCCCATGTAATCGTTGTGGGTTTCCTTTCCCCTTCCTTAACGCTTGACAAAATGCTCAGAATAAATTTCGCCCTTGCGCTAGCCTCCGGACTTCGAGAGGCGCTGGTTCAGAACTTCCCAGCTATACACCAGGGTGTACAAGTTATTCCACTGCACTGGCAGCATGCGTCTTAGCTACCCCTGCCGGGGTTACAGGTATAAGTTCAAAAGTGAGTAGGCCCACTTTATAATAGGCTAATCTGAGCTCACATCCAGTGACCTCAGGTGGAGGAAAGACGGGACGAGGAGGAGGAGGAAATGTTACAATAGTAGAGGAGTCGGCTCGCAAGCCAGTAGAACGGATTCCGTGCTCTCAAGAAACCAAGACCATCTCCCAGATGTACAGGTTACAATTGGAGAGATGGTCTTGGCAGATTTGCAGGTGAGGAGCCTGCCAGCTAGCCGAGCGGATCGCAGGAGAAAGACCTCGGGACGCTTAGGGAGGTTACAGTGAAGTTGTTGGAGATGGTGCGACTGCCACACTAGAAGATTTAGGGCCAGATAGACACAAGTCTCAGAGACTATTCACTAGGAAACCAGCACTGATTGTTCTCTCTCGGAGGCCATGTTGAATAAAAAAAAAAAAAAAAATCCCCCACTCTACGCACCACACATCGGTTATAGCAACTTCAAAACGTCTTTTACACTTTTGTTCGTTCGTGCGAGGCTACCAGTCCGGTTCCTTGTGATTTTCTCATTCCGCTCTCTGAGGCGGTCATTCCCATCTCTTTTTCTAGAGATTCACTCTCCCATTCGCCATCATCTGAGGCCCATCAGATTTTAGCAACCCTTTTATTTTTTATATTTTTTCTTTTCGCTTTCGCGGTCCAACCTCTTGGATATGCCTCCTCGAGGTTTTACCGATCACGACCCGGACGAGCCTATGGAGGGCACTGAAGGGTCGAGCCCTATTGTGGCCTCTGACGAGGTTTACACCCAGCTCCCAGCATCTTCTGCTGGCACACCTGAACCCACTCAATCCTTGGA